GTTTATCCTTGACTCACATGCTAAGTGAGGTGCTTACCTGACGCTGGGCTTGCCTCTTGGTGAATGTCAAGCCAAAAGACACAGCCAAAGATAGGGAAAGGAAGGGTTTTACCTGCAATAAATAAAGGACACGGGGGAGATTTCCCAAAGCAGTGTCTCTGCAATAACAAAAGTGGGGAGACTTTAAGCTAAGGGTGTGTACGCATCCATGAAGGGGCTTGTGTAAGGGGGAATACAGCTTAGAACTGGGGCAAGGCTCATCTTAAGGTGACTGAGTCCAGGTCAAAATCGGGAGGACCTGCCAGAAGCAGCCTCATTACTTTTCTGGCTCCGGGTGGTCCGGTATATGAGTACTCAAAGGGGTGTTTCTGGCAAGGGTGACTCTAGGGTACCCGCGGGTCAGTCTTCACTTCTGCACGTGATTAGGCTAATCTCCTGGCCTGCTAGAGGCTCTTTGCGCTTACATTCTTTCACAAGACGGCGGCGGGCCTAAAATGACTCTTCTTGTGTCAAGAAAGCTATGTGTTGCCGTCTTTCTTTTTCTGGGCATTCTGCCTACAGGTCTGTATTAGCTGATTGGCTTTATCTAGCGGAGAAACAAATCCTCATACCTTTAGGACAGATATTTTGCACCTTCAGCCGGCACCCCGCCTCCCACAGAAACTGAGAGATAGAGGGAGCAGATTCCTTGTGTTTACATTTCAAAGAGATGCCTCCCAGGGCCTTGAGGACGGCATTCATGGGTCATCAGGCTGACAAAGGCCTATCTGGTTTTCAAAGGATTTATATACATTTCAAAGAGAGAAGAAACTACCAACAATTACAAGTTTTTCCAAAGTAAAATTCTGAGAAAAAGGAGGGAGAGGAGTCTCTTCCCTTATTTCAACAGGGAGAATTACACCTCTCATTTTTTATTTTAATTTTTCCTTATTACAAATGCCACCCCTAAGTCTTCTGATTCTGAGGCCGTGATCTGCATGTCTACAGCTCTGTAGGAGATTCTGCTAATCCAGTTCTTAAAGGTGTTCCTGGGAGTTGCAGATGGCCTGGAACATCCCAATCCACTGAGGAGGCTGGCTGAAATGCATATTCCTGGGGCAGAGCTGAGAGAGAACCACAAAATCAAAATCTCGAGGGTGGAGCTGACAGCTGGCTGTAAGCCAGCCTTCTGGAAAATTCTGCTGGTCTCTAAACCTGGGGCATTGCTGCCTTAGGCTACAGCACTGATATTTCACAAGGGGACACCTACATCTGGGGAGACCTGATGATTTCCGTAGGCCACACAGACTTGAGTAGTTTGAAGGAACCATTTCCTAGATCCTCAAATTTTAATTTTTATTCTTCTAAAAATCTATCTTTCTGAATATGTTTGTGTCTCCTCTGCCACTTCTTCCTCTTCCTCCCAACTGTTCAGGGTCATCTTTCTCTATCTTACAACAAAGGAAAGGCATTTATGGTTGTCATACTACTATAGAAGTTGGATTCAGTAGGCAGAGAGGGAAAGATTAGGGCCTGAGGACCCTGGGCGGGGGAAAAACACATATTTTTGGAACAGTGCTGGGAGCATCTGACAACAAACCCCCTCAGGCATAAGTTCCTCTTAAGAATGTAACAGACCCCACCTACTCCCCCTCAGGTTTCCCCTCAGGAATTTGACAAAAGGCCTAAGTATGGCCATAGACCACCCCTCATAAATGGAAGTGAGTCAGTCAGGAAGGACACCCCAGCACCCAGAGCTATCCAGCCAACATGGGTAGAACCTGAGGAGGAACAAGGGGGAGGGAAGGGGAAGGGGTGGGGGAGGGCTGACCAGAACCTTACAAAGCAAGGTCCTTTGCCTCTAGTCCTCAGGCATTCACTTTGCAATGTTCCTTCTCTGTAAAGAGAGCTTTCCTGCTCTTCTTCCTTTCTAATCTTATATCCTAATAAACGTTTGCCTGCTGCTCGTTTTGTGTCCACCTCTTCAGTCTTCCAGGCGGTGAGACAATGAATCTCAGGTGTTGTGGTGAAAATTCCTGCAACGATACCCCTACCTGAAACCAATATGCTTTCAGTAAAAAAAAAAAAATATATATATATATATATATATATACATTTAAAACAAGAAGAAGAGGGGGAAGGAAGAGGAGAAAGGCATATCTCTTCTATGAATCTTAAAATGCTGCTTTCTTCCTGGTTAGGGAGAGGGGGTGGCAGTGGAGAAGATTCAAGAAGAGCTATCTCCTGAGGGAGTCCTGGAGCTGCTGAGGAAAGAACTTGGCCGAAACACCCTGAGTCGTCTTTCACTGTGACAAACACAGCCAGCCTCCATCTACCTTAGAATTCAGGAGTGAGATGAATGTTTAAAAGAAAGATATTATACCATGTTTGTTGATTTTAGGGGAAAAAGGAAATTAAAACTTTCTGACCCCCAAACCCCCACGCTTTTATTTGGCTGACTGGTCTGGCATGAGCACTGGCCTTGGCTGACCTATGGAAAATGGAGAACACTGTCCAAAAGCTGAATGAGTTAAATGTGTGGCTCTAAGGTTTTGAAGAAAATACATAAATACATTAAAAGCACAACATATACAGCACGGGAGGAATTCTATCTTTGCAACTTATAAAATCCTCATATAAGTTTTTTACATCACCTTAAAATTATGCTATAAGTCATCTGGTTGATTTAGTTTTGTATTTTAATGTTTAGGGATCATGTGGGGAAAATGTTTAAAGAGCATAGCCTTAAAAGACTCATGCTTAAAAACTCAGACAAACACCCCATTCAGAGCTACCCAGCCCAGAACAAGCAGAGAGCAAAAGAAGGAAGCACTCCCCACCACCTCACCCACTCACACCCCTACCCCACCCGCAGCACCAGCGCCCGGAGCTCTTATATTGGTGGTAAGTGTAACAAGATCTTGAAGGGTCCTAATAAAAAACTACCATCAGGAGGTCCATATGATGCTGAGCCCATATGATGCTTCCACAGATATGGAAGGGCATAGAAATTAAATTTTCTCATACCTAGAAAATTTTTACCAATTCCTTGTAATATGGAAGGTGCTTATGAACTTACCAATTTAATATCTGATTTACTAATTAGTTAATTTTTTAAAGTTTATTTATTTGTTTTAGAGGGGGAGAGAGAGAGAGAGAGAGACAGAGAGAGAGAGAGAGAGAGAGTAAGCAGAGGAAGGGCAGAGAAAGAGAGGGAGAGAGAGAGAGAATCCCAAGCAGGCTCCTCACTGTCAGTGTAGAGCCAAACTGGGGGCTCAGTTTCACAAACCACGAGATCATGACCTGAGCCGAAATCAAGAGTCAGGCATGTAACCCACTGAAACCACCCAGATACCCCTATTAATTTATTATAATTAATTGTTATGTTAATTACATCTATGAGGATTTGTTTTGGCTGAGAGTAACAAATGTAGTCTCCCTTAAGCAAACAGTATGGGGATTAATCAGGATCCTGGGGTATCTCACAGGATCCAAGGGAAGGGATGACACTAGACTCAGGAAATGGGCATAAACCAGATATTGGTGGGGAACTCAGTTAATTCTCTTAGCTCCCCCCTCCCTTCTCTGTGAACATTAAATGCTTTCTACTCTATCATAGTGGATGGGTTCTGGTGGGGGGGGGGGGCCGGGAGTGGACTGAGGACAAAGTACAAACTAGCACACACCCCTTCCCACCCTCCCTGAGGTGGGATGTGTGTGATATTCCTCAGGCACTCCTGGCTCTTCAAGGACAAAGGAACAAAAAGAAAACTAACTGATAGAGATCATAGTCATACAGGACATGGGTCTCCATCAGTTTGCAAATATCTCAGTAAACTACAGGAAAAAGGAAATCTTATCAATAGCCTAATCTCCAGAAGCCTATAGACTCGGTTTCCTGGAGCCCCAAAATCTCTCCTCCATAATGATATGGGAAACAAAGGCAGAAGGAAATGGCAGGTAAAATTAAATTTCCTTATAACCTGCAGCCCACTGACAGATACTAGAGGCTGGCAGAGTAAAACATTTCTCCAGAAACTCTCTACTGTTTTAATGTTAATACTTTGCTAGGGAAAACAACCTTACCTGGACAATAGTATCCTGTCAATCTTCTTTAGCATATGGAAATCTCATTGAAAACCTCCCCTTGGCTGTACCTCCCCCAAATCACAAATATATATATATATATATCTCCAGTCTTTCCACAGGGTCTAGGGCAGCTCTTTCTGCTCACGCGTCCTGTCCCTGAGCTTTAGTGAAATCACCTTTTGCACCAAAGACGTCTTTGAGAATTCTTTGTTGGTCGTCGGCTCCGGACCTCCTGTCACCCCCAAACCTCATCAAGTTCTAGTTCCTAAATAGAAAAAATGACAAAACAGGTTCAGTAACTTCTGAAGTTCACTTGTTGCAGGTCCATTTGTCTAAAGAGAAATCTCACTGGATCCCCTGTAAAAACTCCCTTGAGCCAAAAGGTGAGGGGCTTGCAAATGAGGACATACCAACTATTGTTTGATCTCAAACTCTATTCAGGTAAAAGGTCAGGGGATGAGCAACCTAGCTCCTCCTGGCTGCAGCAAGCCCCCGAGATGGAAATCTCTAGTGAACATTGTGATTAGAACAGTCAAACATGTTCAAGCGACTGTTAAGCCACCTCCCACCTCTAACCGCAAAATTCTTGCTTCTGTACACCGGCTTCGCCCCTTTCCCTATATAAACCCTGAGCTATGGCTCGATGGGGCGCTCTTCTGAGGACTCTTTGGGTGCTTGGGAGGGGCTGTCCGGTCGGACTAAAATAAACCTGAATAACCAACTCCTTTTGTGTTTGTGGGCTTTGTCCTCGGTGATTCTCCTTTGGAAAAGGTGGTCTAACACCCCAAGGTCATCTCTTGGGTCAATGACCCTTGGGCAAGGGAACTAGATCACATTTTTAATATCACTGAAGTGCTTAAGGTTTTCAGTCATTGACCTCTACAAGCATTACTTACTTCATTTAATCTCATATTAACATCCTCCAGGCAAAGACCACACAAAACATATGTGCCATAGAATGAACTTGGCCTAATGGCTCACTGAAATACAAGAGACCACATGGCATGGAGAACTGTGGAACGTGTTAGTGGGAGGAGGCTGGCAAGAACTTACAGGTATTTAAAAATATACACGGGATTTTGCATTCATTCCAGTTTGGGTGAGGACGACTGATCAGAAGACAATTGCCATTTAAAAGATTTTTTTTTATGTACAGTTCCCCAGAGTAGGGGACACGCCACAGGAAAGAACACTGAGGCTGGTGGCAGGCAGAGAGCGAGAGGAAAGGGAAAAGGTCTTGTTGTGGTTTCTCCAGGAAGGAATGGGCTTACTAGGTTTAGGAGATTTTGAATGATTTCACTGGGTTGTGGGGTTGCCTTTAGTTGTCTGCTCCTGGTAAAGGGAGATTAGAACGAGGGGTCTGTGGTTCACAAGTGTAAATAGGCTCTGGAGTGGTTAGCTTACATATGAAAGCGGGGATCAAGGCAGCAAGGCCCCAGAAGGCAAAACATCAGATACAGAAACTAGAAACATAGTTAATACAGTAGGGCCTGGCCTGGTGTCAGGGGACTCTGGGGATGGTACAAGAAAAGTGGGCTTCTCTCAGCACTGGATGTTGTCCGGAGGCAAGAACATTTTGTGATTGGACTTCTATATCATTTTTATCTAGATGGCAGGACGAATGAAGTAGAACAAAAGCTGTACCTGGTAAAGCAGCTGTGGTCATTCCAGTGATTCCCAGAAAAAGAGGACATTTGGTCGTTTTTGTGGTTTGGATAATATTATTTTCGTTTTGATTTTTTTTCTTATTTCGCTTGTTGATTTTTGATATTCAGACACGATGATGGAGTGCTTTTGTTGTTTCTTGCTTCAACATGGTCACAGTGACCTTGTCTGATGTTGGTATCCTGTGAAATTGCTTATGGGCAACAAGAGAGTTGAGGGCCAGGCCTGCCTCTGAAGGTCAAAGGCTGTTTCTCTCTCACAATAATCCTATAAGGTAAGTACAGTTGACCATTGAACAAAGCAGGGGGTGGGGTGCCGGCCTCCATGTATAGTCAAAAATTCATGTATAACTTTTGACCCCCCAAAACTTAACTACTAATAGACTACTATTAACTAGAAGCCTCGCCAATAACACAGTTGATTAACACATATTTTGTATATTGTATGTATTATATGCAGTATTCTTACAACAAAGTAACTTAGAGAATGGAGAATACTATTAAGAAAATCATAAGGAAGAGAACAATATATTTACAATATTGTAGTGTGCTTACTGAAAAAAATCTGCGTGTAAATGGAGTCATGCAGTTCAAGGGTCAAGTCATGTTGTTCAAGGATCAGCTTTACTACTATTATTCAATTTTCCAAATGCGGAAACAGACTTAAGCTGATTTACCAACGTCACAAAGTTCAGAGGCTTTTGCGCGCTTGTTTCTACCTATTTCATGATTCTACTTTCTCTCCATGGTAAATACTACGTGAACATAGTGGTTCTTTCTGAAACTATGTACTGAAGATAGTGGGGAAAAGCAAGGCCAAGAGAAGAGGGTCTGGATAAACAACAAAAACAATGTCCACTCTGCAAATGTGTTTAAGTGAATCAACAAGTAATTCCATTGACGCATTGTAGTGTTATTCTGATAATATTAGTAGTTTTCTTTTATTGGTGTCTAAAATCTAATTAAAGAATCAGATTCAGGGTTTAAAGCAGAAACATTTGAGCCCAGAAAATCCCAACTCAGTAACTGGACATGACCTTGCTAAGTAGGAAATATTTGCCATGATGGGACTAAGATTTAAGTTCCAAGAAGTGGTATGAATGGAACCTGGAAGGAACAATTCTGCTGATTTTACATAAGCAGCTTACATACAGCACATGACAGTTTTCTACCAATGTGATTAAATTAACTCATGGAAGAAATTATTTTAGGAGATAACTAGACTGTAATCTGGCCAGGCCAAGATGTTTCCACATGGACGTCTGTTGTCCATGGATGAGGAAGTAGCAACTGGCCTGAATTCCTTGGGCCATGTACCTCAGCAGGACAAAAAAAAAAAAAAAAAAAGATTTCTCAAAGCTTTTTTAAGGGCTACAAAGAAAAATTTAGATGGAAACAATTGTATATAAAGGAAGGTTATTGTTTTGTGCATACCATGAAGACTTGGGAAAATTCCTGTTTCATTTCAAAAGGGAATTTTTCATATTCAAGGGTCATGAGAATCTTCAACCTTGTGATTATCACATGAATCTGGATTCCTCTATTGAGTTTATGAGCTTTAGCATGTTATAAATCCAAAGCAACAGGTTAAGACAAAACGTACCAGTTCTTTATTCAGTGCACATAAACCTGACTACAAAAAACAGGAGAGTTATAATACTATGTAAATACTCTGAAATGTATTTATTTTAGGGTGTATATGTCATGCAGATGTAATGTGAAATCAGTGGTGGGAAATTACTACATGTTTGAAAAAGATGTCATGTAAAGCTTATAAGAATTCAAAGCACTGTAAAAGTGCCAAAGTTATTCATCAATGAGCTGTATTTTCCCAAGAGATGTAAAAGATTTATAAAATTAAAACAAGTACTTATTAAGTACCAAATTAAGCCTCATGTACTAGAGTTATTTCTGTCAGCACTTGAAAACTGTGTGGTAAATACCAAGAAAAAAATTGAGAGGGCTCAGAAAGACAAATGTTTATAAAAAATCCTTAGTGTTTTTAAGGAAGTGCCTGGGTTTTCTGACAGATGAAAGTTTAACAATAGAAAATTTAGACACAGATACATATACATAAAACCTCAGGCCACAGGAAGAGTTAGTCTAAGTAGTGGTAACACAACAAATCTATCAACAACTATAACAACCTATCTGTCCTCTGAGAATCAAGAGTTTTACAAATAACAACAACAATTTAAGGAGTATCTTAAATGATCATAAAGAATTATTAATATTTTTGTTAAATATCTCCTAACAGGCAATTGTAATCATCAACATATCATTAGCATAACCCAGTGAAGAGTAGAAAGTTATGAGTGTTTCATTGGATACAGTCATAGTGACCACTGTTATTCCAGTGAGTTAGTAAGCAGCAAGAAAATACTCACACTGGGTTCACAATTGTTTTTATTAAGGTGTAACTGGCATACAGAAAAGTGCATATATTTAACGGACCCATTTGATAAATTTTGGTATATAATTATATGTGTGAAACCATCACTACAATCTAGAGAATGAACACATCCATTGCCCCAGAAAGTTTCCTCATGCCCTTTGGTGATTCCTCTCTCCCATTCCTCCCTAGCCTAGGCAAGCACTCATTGACTGGCTTTTTTTGTCACTAGGGATTATTTTGCATTTTCTAGAGTTTTCTACAACTGTAATCCTTGAGTATGTTTGCGCTCTCATTCTTTTTCACTCAGGAAGTGGGGTTGGTGGGGTGCTAGTCTCTTTCACTCAGCATAATTATTTTGACATTAATATTTGTTATTGCTTTTTACTCCCAAGTCATATTTCATTTATAGATATACTACAATTTGTTTACCCCCTTACATATTTGTTGGGGGAAGAAAAATTTTCTCCTACCCTTCAAGATTCTTTTGGCTGATCTAAGAATTAAATTGACATGAGACAGATTAGCAGTAGAAAATCTAATCTGATTGCATATATACAGGGGCTCCATAAGAATATGAGAATCACAGGTAGTCAGGCCACTGAGGCTTTTATGCCACCCAGAGCTAAGGAGAAGAAGGTTGGGGCCTGGGATGTCAAAGGGAAGGGAAATAATTTATAGGAAAATGAAAAAGAATCATGTAAACAAACATTTGCTGAGCCATATAGAAACAATGAGACATTGAGAGGAATTTTAACACACTTTGTTAAAGTTCCTCCCTGTCTACCACTCCTAGTTCATAGCTATCTATGGTGACAGCTCCTTTCTTGGAGCACATCTTCTATCAAAATTCCTTTAGGTTTTTTTAAAATGTTCATTTATTTTATTTTGAGAAAAAGACAGAGAGCACAACTGAGGGAGGGACAGAGAGAGAGGGAGAGAGAATTCCAAGCTGGCTCCTTGCTATCAGCATGGAGCCTGAGGTGGGGCTCAATCCCATGAACTGGTAGATAATGACATGAACCAAAATCAAGAGGTGGACACTCAACCGACTGAACCACCCAGATGCCCCCTCTATCTCAATTCTTTTAAGCAGTTAGGGGGAAGATCAAAGGTTCTTCCAGAGCCTTCTGTTTCTTAAAAATTATCAGCCGTTGCCAAAGAAACATATTTTGGGGTGACAAATTTTTGCTTCCCTACATGTTAACAGATTTTGGGTTGTTTCCAGTTTGGAACTATTACAATAAAGACATTATGAACATTCATGTACAAATCTAAGGATGAACATATGCTCTCCTTATCATGGGTAAATAGGAGTAAAATGACTGGATCATACAATAAGTATATATTTAACATTTTAAGAATCTGCCGAACTACTTCCCAAACAGTTGATACCATTTCACATTCTCAACCAGCAGGGTATAAAAGTTCCACTTCCCCCAACTTGGTAGGGTGGGACTTTTCAATTTTGGTCAGATTAATATGTGTGTAATTGTTACCTCATTATGGTTTAATTCGTATTTCCTTAATGTTGAGTATCTTTTCATGTGCTTAATTGTCATCTGTATATCTTCTTTGGTTGACTGTATGTTCGAATCTTTTGCCTATTTTTTTTTTATCAGGTTGTTTTCTTACTGCATTTTGAGAATTCTTTATGTATTCTGTATAGAAGTGCTTTATCGATATGTGATCTGCAAATACATTTTTTCCAAGTCTGTGTCTTGTCTTTTCCAGTCTTTTAACAGAGTCTTTGAAAAGCAGAAATTCTTAATTTGATTAAGTACTATATTTATCAACTGGTTTTTTTACGGATCATTGGTTTTGGTGTTATAGAGTTTAGAACTCTGTCTACATGCAAAGTCATAAAAATGTCCTGTGTTTTCTCTCAGCTTTAGGTATTATATCTAGGTTTATGAGCCATTTTCTGATATTCTGTCCTGTAAAATCTTCCTACCCTGTCTTTCCTACACTCTCTCCTCCATCTCTCAACTCACAGAGAACAACACACACTGCCTGGGTTTCCCCTCCCTACAACACAGTCTCAAAACGTTCTCTAGGCAGTAGTCTGGAGCGACTGGAGGGCTCACCTAGCTGCTTCCCATCTGTCAAGACTCACTGGACCTTGGTGCCTTGTGTCCAATGTCTTGAGTTCCAATGGTTCATATATTTTGTCTAGTTCTTTATAAGTGCTTCAGGCAGGAAGGCAAATCCATCCTCTGTTGATTTATCCTGACCATAAGCAGAAGCCCTACAAACCGTTGAACTTTAATAATATTACCTTTCTTTAATGATGAAAGGGGGAGAGTTTGCCACTTATAATTAGTATAGGTCACCACATTCCTCTAAGCTTTGTTTTTTTCCTATAAAACCCTAAAACATTTAGCCTGTGATAATTATGGATATTTCTGTACTCCTCAAACTAATCAACATAAACACAGTTATCAAAAAAAAAAAATTCCTGTTTGCCCTTTCCTAAGGATATTTTTTCCTAACAACAGCTATTCTAAAATTAATATTTAAACAAAAACACCCTACCTAGACCCTGCAACATGGGTAGCTAGTCTCTCAAAGCCATTTAAAAGACTTATTGAGGGTACCCCAGCAGTCTCTGAATTGAATCAATATATTACTTCAGTGAAGGCCATCCTAATATGAAACAAAATATGATGCCATTAGAGTTCTCCCAAGTTATAATGTTCTCTATCCTGGATTATATAATGTGCACCTGACAATACTAGCAAGCAAGGGCTTGAGATTTTAACCTACATTATCAGTCTAACCATGGTCATAAAATAAACTTTGTTATCTGGAAAGAAGGCAGATGGAAAAATGAGCAAAGAAAAGAGAAAGGAGTTACCATGTGCCAGAAAATCCATCCACTGCCCACAGACCACCCTGATGCCACTTAGCAGAACACTCTTAACATAAGGGTAATAATGGTAGGATCTCTACACGCTGCATGGGGGTGGGGACTCTCTTTGTGCAGACGGCCTGCTCTCTTGGAGAATGAGAGCTGAAAGAGTCTGCTCTTCCTTCTCAGCTATTTCCCTAAGAGCTCTTTCCTTTGTTTAATATCCTTATTTTGACTTTCCACTTCCCCTTTGACCACTATGTTCCTCGTACCCACTAGACTTTGTCAAGGGAAACAGTTTCACCCTCTTGTGAGCAGAATCTCGAAGCCTTTTTGAGCCCCATAATCTCCAGGTAGCAAACATAGCTTTTCTCGGTATTTCTACCGACCAGAGGGATCCCAGTCTTCTGTAGCAGGCACTGTGCTACTGATGTGTTTCATGTCTATGTTCTCAAAGGAGACAAAATAAATGGGAGGAAATTAAATGTTCACCAAATGTGTCTCTTTATCAACTTTGTCATTCCTCAATTTGGAAACACTTAGGTATCGGTTAGCTGTGCTTCTGCAGTGGGGGCCCAAATATCCCGTACAGAGGACTCTTTTATTGAAGCAGTTCACTGTGACCCTATTTTCTTTTCTGGAATGTGTCAGGCCTTCTGCTCACACTGCAGATTGAATTCTTGTGTGCAGCCCACACCGCCTGCCCCCTGCTCCCCTGGGCCTGCATTTCCGCTAGTGTTGGGTCCTGGGCATGCCCTGGGACCTCCTTCTTCTCGGTCATCCCTCCTGGAGCCCGTCTTGAGGTGCCACCCACTCGTCTGCTAGGCCTTCACTGACACAGAGTGACAGAGGGCCCTGAGCACCTCAACCCCAGCGAGGGCCTGTTCCAGCCACATGTGGAATCTGTTTCTCTGGCGGGATAAATGCTTTCTTAACTGCACTTTGTCCTTCCCATTTATGTAAATTATATGACATCAAACTCCAGATTTTCCTGCTGGAGTTAAAACAAGTGAGGGGTTCCTGAGTGGCTCAGTCAGTTAAACGTCGGACTCTTGGCTCAGGTCATGATCTCATGGTTCATGAGTTCAAGCCCCTCATCGGGCTCCATGCCGACAGCACAGAGCCTGCTTGGGATTCTCTCTCTCTCCTTCTCTGTCATTCCCTTGCTCACACTTTCTCTTTCTCTCAAAATAAACTAAAAAAAAAAGAAAGAAAAGAAAAGAAACAAAAGAAAAACAATAAAAAGAAATTGAGATAGCCTTCTTTTCTTTCCTATTTCTACAAAACCATTTTGGATGTCTGTGGCCTTGTCCTTTTATGTTTATGCAAACATATTGTCTAAATGAATTTTTTTTTATCTGTAGCATTTCACCTCAAGAAGTGTTCCTGGAATGTGAGGTAGAGCAAAATGATAAATATTCTGGCATATTTTACTTTTGAAAAGCTGCCTAAAATATCCAGCCCAAAAGAGACAAGAGATGGGCATATGAAAGGTTCTCCAAGCTCTGCGCCGACACTCTGACTCACTCACGCGTGGGACAGGACCTTGTTCTGCACAAGCCAGCCAGGTTCGGCGCTGGTCACAGCGGGAGCACCTCTCCTACTACCATCACGCACGCACATTCTGGCTTTGTTCCTTCCGGGGTCACTCCTCGCAGTCAGCTGAAGTGGCCCTGGGTGTGCTGGGTAAGAGTCACAAAGACAGGTTCACAAGAGAAGGTGACTACGGGGGCAGGAGGAGACTCTATGGGGCTGGTGGTGTTGCCATTATGGCTCATCCCTGGAAGATCCAATAAACTACAAACACTTTATTTAATAGGACAGAGACAGTCTCACAGTCCTCAAAAGCTCAAAGTGAATAATTAGAGAGAAAGAGGGAAGCAGAGAGGGAGGGGGGGGAGGAAGAAAATAGGGAGAGGGAAGGAGGGAAGGAAAAGAAGAGGAGAGGGAGCTCAAGGGGAATCGTCTTCTGGCCAAAATAAATGACAGAGGTTAGTACTCTGCTTTGAAGAAGAGGGCTTTAGGAATTCTCTTAGAGCCCTCCAACTCTTAGTTTTCCTCATTTATTAGCTGATAGTTGTTTCTTCAGTATTTTTTTTTAGAGTTTACTTATTTTTGAGAGAGAGAGAGAGAGAGAGAGCAAGCGCACAAGCAGAAAAGGCAGAGAGAGAGAGAGAGAGAGAGAGAGTCCCAAACAGGCTCCATGCTGTCTGCACAGAGTCCAACACGGGGCTCTATCTCATGAACTGTGAGATCATGACCTGAGCTGAAGTCGGACACTTTAACGACTGAGCCGCCCAGGTGCTCCTCCGGTGTCTTAATAAGTGAAAGTGTAGGAAAGACATGGTTGACAGTAGCAACCATCCCACGTGGCAGGTGTCGGCCACCCGGACAAGTGGCAGAAGTTTGGAGGCAGCCTCAGGTGCTTTCCCCAACCTTTGAAGACTTTCTTCAGAAAACTAATACCCACGGCCCAGGGAAAATACTTTAAAATTAAAAATCTTTAAAAAAATAAGAGAACAGAGGTAAAATATTAAGACTAAAAAATAGTTTTTAGCAGTTTAGCAAAAATAAAAGTGCACAAAAAACAGTTAAGTGAGGAAGTTCTAATAAATAAAAGGAATGTGAAAAGGGTAATATGCTGATAGCAAAGCCAACCGATAAGGGAGCTAGACCGCGGGCGCTAGCAGACTGGGGAACACATCAGGCTTGTTGACAGCACAGGGCCCAGGACCCCATTAGTACTCGCTAAGTACTGACTGAACACATACAGAAACATCCGTTTTTGAACTGTAATTAAGATCATTTTTCCCTTGAAAAGAGAAAAGAGAAACTGAGCTACGAATATGGATATGGGACGTCAAAGGACTTGAAACGCAAGGGAGAGCCGCAAGAAAGGAGAGGGACGGTGAGTCGGGGAGAGAAGGATCCACCACAGAACTAGGAGCAAACGTCAACAGTGAACATCGTCCTGAGCGGCAATGACAAATTGTGGGGCAAACCTAAGGGGCTGATTCACATGACAGAGTATATCTGCAGCTGCCCTTAGTTACAGAAAGTCACAGTGCAGCTTGGCTTTGGTGTACTTAGCCCAGTACATCTCGCTCTGCCAGGAGTGGACTCCTGCCCTTCCGTGTTCCAGCAGCCACAGTGAGGCTGGCCCCCTTGCTGTACTTAAACTTTCAGTCAAATCATATATATCATATTTCATACCGAACTGTTCTTAGGGACTGCTATCAACCACTAGCCATTATTAGTGCCATCCACCGAGAGTCCTCTAGATAACGCTGTACTTGGTATTCGTGTTCCATCTGTTAAACAAGAAAGCATGGAGAACCACTACCTCAAGTTTAAGCTCTTCTGCCTCTTCCCTTACTGACTTATCAGCTGTCAAATTGATCAAAACTACCATAGCTTTGGTTCTCACCCCAGGAGACACTTTAGATTCCTTGGAGATCTTTTTAAAAACACCATGCCCATGTCATCCCATTCCTAGTTGATGATGATGCACAGCAATAGTAAAGAACAAAAGACAGAAAAGGGAAAACTCAACAGGGCTAGCCATGTCATTTTCACCTACACCCTTTCACTTATTATGATGCAGAAACAATAAAGTTTGGGTTAATAAAGAATATGTAGAATTAACAGGCCTTGAGCAAGAGCCTAAAGCCCTCTCCTTCAAAGCAAAGTATGACATTCTGTCAATTACTTTGACCGGAGGATTTTGAAAACAAAATCCTTCCTTCCTTCCTCTCCTTTCCTTCCTTCCCTCCCTCCATCCCTCTCATGCTTCCTCCTTTCCTTCCTTCCTTCCTTCCTTCCTTCCTTCCTTCCTTCCTTCCTTCCTTCCTTCCTTCCTTCCTTCCTTCCTCCTTTCTTCTTATTCTTCCTTTTTAACTGTTCTCTTCTGGCTTCACAGGATTGAGACTGGGAAGACTGTCTTCGTCCTATTACACAAAGTTTATAGTTTAGACGTATTTGTTCTCTGTAATTGACAGTCTGGTCTCCCTCTCCTTTTGGCAAGTATCTTGGCTTTCAGACACATATCTTCTGCCTCAAGATGTGCTTCCATCTCCACTTATAATATTGAAGCCCTTGGATTGGGCCTAAACTAATCCATAGACCCTTGCTGAAGTCACTGGTTCACAGGCAGACAAGAGAATGATAGAGGTAAATGCAGTCTCAGGAGAAAGGTTTCTTTTCTCTTTCAAGTGCACTTCTGGTAGCGACCCCAACCCATCCCTGGACCTCACAGCTCTGGGAGTTGAAGCCATCTCGTGGTCCCATGGGGCAGCCTGCTGTAGAATGAAACCGATGCCAGAGAAAGCAAAAATGAAAGATACAAAGAATCAGGGTCTTTGGTGACAACTCTGAGTCACTGAATTAAACCAACTGAAACCTACTGAGCTTCTGGTAGTTCAATGAGCCAGGAAATTTCATTTAGTGTCTAAGCCGGTTTGAGTTGGGTTTTCCATTATCCATAACCAGACACATCTTGAAAGATCCATTGCAAATTTTAAAAGGAAGGGAATGCCTGGTTTTTAATAGAACTACATTTGAAAACGCTAGAAGGGTGCTAGACACAACATATTCAAGTTTTAAACACTTTTTGCTATCCTATTTCCAGCTATCACCTTCCCAAGAGCTGCTAATTGGCTGTAGGTTGTTTTTGCATGACATGTGGCAAGCTGTGTCAGTCAGGTCATTCTGTAATTACAGGGAGGCAGGGGGCATCTTCAGTATGCTGTGATTGCTATGACAGTCTATGAGATGCGGTTGACACCAGACGAACAAGAAATATAATATTCAGCAAATAAGACAGACAGTAAAACAATGTACATAACAGCGCACGGGTTTTATTGGTGGCAGAAGAAAAGATTCTCTTTCACTTGTAAAAGGTACTTGCTTTAGTTAACTTAGTATTTTTTTCCCATTCTCTGAGTGGGCTGGATATTTTTCCCTCTAAAATCTGTTCTTCCATTCTCCAATAATAACATCCATCAGGGCTGCACCTTATTCTGCAGGGAAAGCAGGAGGTCTATCAGCAGGTTCTGACCAGGACGTTTCAGTCAGTGGCTCCTTTCTTCACAAAGACTCTATCTAAAAAGAGAGGAGGAAGGTGAGACTGGATCCTCAAACTGTCGTTTCAGCACTCAAGATACACTTCTGCTGAAACACAGGTAAAGGTGGAGCGCTTGTATAGACATTAAGAGATCTCAAGGAGAACACATTGGGCACTGCTGTCTAATTTATAGACACAATTTCTATAAATCAACACATACAAAAAACAATCTTCCAAAATAATTTTTCTTCTAGAAATTCTTAGAGTCCATGTATGTCATTGTGAGCCCTATTGCTGCTGGCATGCGATGTCAGGAATTTGGATTAACTGGATAGTATTTAACAGAGGACGGCCTAAAAGAGATATGCAGTCTCCCGATGAACCCCTTCTACCCACCTCCCGCCGCCCGCCTCCCTCTGTTTCCCCTTCGAACACGTCTGGATCGGTTCAGTCCACACAGGTAGTTGACGGGGGTCTGTCGCCTGTCCCCACCTGCTCCGGCTTTACTAGGCACGGCTCTAGGTGAACCTCTTTTGGGTGGTGATGACAGAAAGAGCTGACAGAAGCAGAGGGAGAAGCCTATTTGCCCTGGTCACATTCAGCCTCCGGCACGAAAAGGACGAGGGCGGGGACTGGGGCGCTTCGGAGTAATGGCCTCTAGCTTGGGGGCATCCTGCTGAGGGGAAGGAGGCGGGGACAGAGCTTCCAACTGCGATCCTCACACGCTGCCTCTCCTACTGGCACCAGAGGGCTCCGCAAGGACTATCTTTAGAGCAATCACTTCTCTGACCCTGATTTGAAAAGTGTTGCAAAGGGGTACTGGACTACGTTAAAAAAAAAAAGAAAAAAAGACATTTAAAATGTATCTTTTACCAACTGAAAATGGTGTTAAGCTGGGATTTCAGAAAAAAACTGCCATTTAGGTAGTAAGTCTGTGCGTAGTTCTTGGTCTCGTGGTTTCTGGCTGATATGTGAAAGCATGAAGACCGTTCTTTCACCATGCATATAAGAGACGAGAAGGGAATACTCTAAGCGAGTCAGCCTTTATTAGACCACTTCGGGTGCTGAGCCTTAGCCTTGGTGGCCCAGGGCAGGAAAGGGGGACTTCACGCTGCTGTGTCTTACAGTCTTCCCACCTGTGGCCTCCATTCCTCTCTCTTCACAGCAGGACACGACACTCTTCCTGGGAATGCTGCGATAGCTTCTGACAAGGCTTTCCCATGATCACAGGGCTGTAACCCATCCAATACCCAACAGTTGGATTTCCTAAGCTTAATTTTGATCATATCACCCTTATTCAGAAGCTCATTATCACCGAACACGTCA